TCGTAACTTTGATAATTCATTTCATTTCTACATATCCTCTTCCTTGACCATCTCTTGTACTGAAAATTTCTTCCTTAATCTTATACAACCACTTATTCCTTTGTCTACATCATATCTATATGATCAGAATACACAACCAAATTCAGATTCATCAAACTTAATTAACTTAACCTTATATATTTTCCAAATTTTACAACTCCATCACCTTTACTATGATCTAAATATACAACTATATCTAATACATTTTCATCACGACATTTTGTTAGCTCACGCTAACTCTTTCCTTCTATAGTACAAACCCTTATCATATCCACACTCTTGCTTATACACCATATTATTTATTTGTTTCAAATCCATAACTCTAATTTCATTCTTTTTTTATAAATGTATCACTGATACACTTATTATTGAACTCTTCAACAATTCTAACCATATCATTTGACCTTTTAACGTTCTTATGGTGACATTTGTCCACCATACTCTAGCTTTCTCTCATAATAACGAAACTTCTCAATTTAACTTCTCCACTTTGGAGAAATAATAACCATCTAACATTATCTTTATATCATTTATTCAAAGGTCTGTAACAATAGAACCTTTCTCAAATTCACCCTTGAACTCAGGTGTTCTGAACTCTTTTAACTATTTATACACATTCATTCTGCAATATGAAACATTCTCTAATCTTATACAAGCATTCCCTGAGGTTTTCGCTCTTCTCTCTACCTGGCCAGGGCAGGGGAATGCTATTACCTTCAGGTTTATTGCCTTGTGCTTCACTTTGGAAGCTCTCATATATTCATGTGCTCATATCATTTCTTCTATCACATATCACGTGTGCATATAATCACCCCATTCATATCATATAACATATGTCATTTGCATATGTTCACATATCATCTATCATATCATATAAACATATATCTCATAAATTATTCTCAGGTATTCACTTATCGTATATAACATAATAATTTAACTCTAATAACAAGACATCACACTCCTTACCTTATCAGATCATAAAAGTTTCCACTTTGTTTTAGCATGTATACGTTTTAAAACACTTTTGACTTCGTTTTTAGCCTAGAATCGACTAAAACATAGCTCTGATACCATTAATGTAACACCCCCAACCCGTATCCGACCCAGATCCGAGGTGTCACATTGACTTTTTCAAAACATTTACTTGTATAAAATAGTGAGTGATTTAAAATTTTTATCCATATAACTTATTCAGAGCTTATACAATATATCATTTTGAATACATGCCAACTAGAACTTCATATATTAAAATATATATTATTCACATTTCTTCTGATCTAATCTTTGGTAAGGAGAACTGACATGTCTTGCTCCACATTGCTCTTTACTCTTCTCGAAACCTACGTGTAAATCACTTACACGCTAAGTCTATGACTTAGTGAGGCAATAAACATATAATGTAAACATTTACTAGTAATCATGCGTAAACAATTACTATTATCATTTCTTACAACTCATATACTTTTATATGTAACAAATACATACATACATATATCTCATTATCATTCATATCTCTTATCTCCTGTTCCTATAATCTTTTATGTCCATATTATATATCTGATAGACTTGTTATTATATCATCATGTCAATCAATTATACTCATTCACATATACTTTAACATGTACTCGCGTATTCAATATAACATATATATATATATATATATATATATATATATATATATATATATATATATATATATCCTATCATGTAAAGAATATATCCTATTATAAAACACATACACATAAGCAACTGTATCATCAACTTCATTCTTATCATTATCATTGATTCCTTTTATCATATGATCTTAGAATTACCATTTGTACAATCATATATCTTATAACATATACAATAATCACTAACACACATATATCATGTCATATAATTCATATCCCAAAACATACATTGTATTCAATAATATCTCTTATTAACCCATGTACACATGTGAGAACTGTGGATATGTGAGTCTATTGAGGTTGTGCACTATGCTATCACCACAGCTCGTATATTTCCCACTAGGGGCGCGTAGAATTTGTCCCGAAAGACCACGTAGATGTCCCAAAGGACTACATATAACACATATGTCCCGAATGACCACTATGTCCCAAAGGACCGCGTAGACCCTCGACTCTTGGCATGCCAACTATACCTCTAGCTCTCAATACACATAACATGGGCATTTTCATTTATATCATTTCACATATACACTTTCATATCACATGTTCATATAAGCTCATAGCTTATTTTCATGTAATTCATATCACTTTTCATATAATTCACATGTTCACATATCTCTTTTCATATTATCATAGGATCATATAGCTCATATATTCAATAACACATACTTCTCATAGACATATAAAAACATAAATCCTCATCACATAACTTATATTACATGTTCATATAATCATTTATATCTATACCACATAGCTTATATCACTTTCTCTTGTCATTACATAAGTCATTATTATTTACATAGTTTATGTTCATATAACTTATATCACGGAGTCACATCATCACATAAATCATATAATAGAAAAGAACATAACAATACATATTCACATACTAACGGCTGCCAACTATACTTATTTTCATGCATTCATAAAATCAGAATTTCCATATAATCATATACTATAATCATATGCACTCACCTGAGCCTCACTAAGTTTCAATCCATTTTTATGATTTCCTTTCTTTCGATCGAATCTTGACTTGATAATCATTCTGGAACTTGTTCGTGCTCAATATCTATATAATCATACATTGACACATATCAATATCCAATTGATATATTCTAATCTATCATTTCTTAGACCAAAAGAAATGTTTATTTCTATTTCCCCTTAAAGTGCATCGATGCATTCTACAGTGCATCGATGCACTACCCATGCATCGATGCACAAATTACCTTCGATGTTTTCATTTTAAAGGGATGCTTCGATGCACTCCTTATGCATCGATGCACCATTTGCATTCGATGTTTCTTCTTTAAAGAGTGCATCGATACACCTTGCCCAGAATTTGCATTTTAAGCCCGAAAATCCATTTAATTCAACTCAAATGCTTCATATTTCACCCCCTTTCATATACCTAACTTACATATACATATTTGCACTCATTTCTACTCAATAATCACTTCTTTAACCTCTATATCCTATTCTGCTTAAGAAATTCAAGTATCATATCCAAATTTTAACATGTTACAAATCCAATTCTAACACTTCATACATATTAATTAGATTGATGATAAGTCAAATTCACTCTAAAACCTCATTAAAGAACCCTCTTTCAAGATTTTACTTATTCCTATCTTTTCTTTAATTACATTTATTCTCTTCATCTTTTTATTTCAAGATAATTTAAGCTCTTCTTATGCTTAATTATCACCTAATAATCAAAACTTATCCTTAAATTTCAGCTAATAATCAACAACAAGAAATCTTACCTTTGCTTGAGCTCTCACGTGGAGGAGGAAGAAGAAGGGATAAGAGTTCTGGAGAAATCTTTCCTTCCCACGTGGTTCCCTTATCTTATAAAGATAAATAAAAATCTTCCTTGTCAAATGACCATTTTTCCCTTTAATTCCTTTAATAATTACTAGCAAATTTCAGGAAATATTTCCAGATAAATCATTGAACTATTTAATTCTTCTACTTAAGTCACCAAATTATGAAACTTTACAATTTAATCACTAACCCCAAGTTTGGGATATTACAGTGTCAATTTTCACGTTTTTATTATCCTCATCTGATCCCAAATTCAAGGTCTCAGTATGTTCCTCATGAGGCAAAATTTGCTTATCCTCTTTTTCCACCATTTTTAACAACTCGGAAGGTAAGTTACATCTCTCATCATTATCATAACCCTCAACTTCCCCTTTACAAATGGGCTGCTCAAAATCAAATTTCGTGTCAGTGTCATCAACATCTATGTTACTGATATGTGAGTTCCTAAAAGGAAAATGAACAAAAGTATGTATACATATAATAATAAAAATGTATAGAAAATATTTTCCATGTGAAATTAACTGAAATGCATCTTTTATTGAAAAAGAAAAACACATAGTTTAACCCTTTACACAAAATCAACTATTGCTCCAGGGTATAAGCAATAGAGGAAGTTCTAGTGTATTACTCTGAAAAAGACTTAAAAACTACAGGTAATTCCTCCATAGTCCAATTATTCAATTCAAAGTCTGGTGGAGCAGGGTAAATGCCCATAGCTCTCTTTTCTTCAGATTCATCATTTGATATGACATTGATACTCAACTCTTTCAAAGCATTCTCAACTATTATCTCTTCGTTTTGTTGATCTCCTCGGAACATATGTCCTCCAGACATAAAAGTATTACTCAACAATGAAAAAGTCATTGGTTCCCAGCTGAGATCTTCTCCAACTAACTTTGTCTTCCTCATTTACTGGCTTTTCCTAATGCTTCTCTGTTTGTCCCTTACAGTCGGTTGATATCCCAAACTGAATCGATCTTTCTTAGTGATGGGAAAACTGGATTAACTGGTCCCTGCAAGTGACTTCCTAACCCTTTTTCCAGTTTTTGCTCCTTTCCCCAGGGTTAATTTAAGCTCTATCTTAGTGAAATTTGAAATTCTAGACTTGGGTATCCTTTGGCCTTCGGCCACAAATGTGGCATTAACAAACTCCAACGATCTAAAAGAGCATTCAATGGTTTTTTCATCCAATTCGATATATAGAGCAGTGGTAAAGACAGAAGCAATGATATCTTCTTCAACATTAAGACATATCAGCCTCCCATTTATCACAAATTTTAATTTTTAGTAAAGTGTAGATGGAACTGCCCCTGCCTGGTGAATCTAATGCCTCCCCAATATGCAATTGTAAGTGGGTATAATATCCATCACAAGGAATTCCACTTCATATGTATCTAGGCCAATAGTTAAAGGAATGACAATCTTTCCTAATATTTCCCTTTTGGTTCCATCAAAAGCTCAAACAATGCCTTGACTATTTCTCATGAGTTTGCTATCAACTGGTAGTTTCTTCAAAGTCACTAATGGCATTACATTTAAAGTTGATCCATTATCAACTAACACTCGAGATAGAATATGTCCTTTGCACTTAATCGTGATATGCATAGCTTTAGGAATACCATTCATCCCAGAGGGGATTTCATCTTCAGAAAAAGAAATGAAATTGTCACCCTGTATGTTTGCGACCAACCTATCCAGCTTATTTACCGATAATTCTTTTGGTACAAAAGTTTGATTTAACACTTTCAATAAGGCATTCCGATGTGCCTCAGAGCTTAATAAAAGTGCCAAGACTGATATACGAGCATACAACTTATGCAACTGTTCAACAATATTGTATTCACTGTGTTTGAGAAATTTCAAAAATTCCACAGCTTCATTCTCAGTTACAGGCTCGTTGATAACATGTTCATATTCTCTCAACTGCAGGTCAACCTTTTTCCCTTTGTCAACGTTAGTTTGCTTCTCAGGTTCTTTGGAATAACATCTTCCGCTTCGAGTAAAATGTCCAACCTCATTTACTTCATCCTTTTCTTTTACTATATCATCCATCTTACAACCATATTTCCATGGCACTTGTTTGTCATCTTTATACAGGAACGGAGATGGAGGTATTATAACCACTATTGGAGTTATTTTCTCTGATACGCAAATTCTTAGTGTAATAATTAGAGGACAATCATAATTGTAGATCCCTCTAGGCGATCCCTCAGAGGTGCAAATATTCATTTCCTCTTCTTCTGGTACTTCATTGAAGAACTCCATTTCTTTTTCATCCATCAACTTTTGTACCAAATATCGAAAATCTGGACAATGTTGTATAATGTGTCCTTCACATTAGTGGTAATGACATGTATTTTCACTATTGAATTTTTCAATTGGAAAACTAGGCATCAACAGACCAACATTGATCATTTGACTCCACACCCAACACATGGGTGATTCCACCTCACTGACGTCCATTATAATTTTCTTTCTTTTTTCTTCACTGACAACATTGATTCCCATACCTGCGTGGTTTGGCAATGGATTTTGGGTCATATTAGGCTGCTCATTATCACCATAATTGATGACATTCTTGCTTCTAAGACTTTGAACAAGTTTCTTAAATGACATGCAGTTTTCAATAGAGTGTCCATGAGCTCCTGCATGATATTAACATTGCAAGCTAGTATCATACCATTTAGGGTATGGAGGTTGCACTGGTGATATATGATAAGGTGACACCACATGTTTATCATACAAGATATGAAACAATTCCTTGTAGGTCATAGGAATTGGATCAAACTGGGGCTTCTCTCTTTCTTGCCTCTCTCTTATCCTTTGCCTGGCATGGTTTTGTATAGATGAACTTGTATCCTGAGGTCGAGACACCATGATGTTATTGGATTCGTATTTCCTCACGTTATTTACCTCACTCTCTTTCTTTTTTATTAGTGGTTTCTTGCTAGATTCACCACTATCAAGTTTCACACTCTTAACTGCCATTTCAATCATCTCACCAACTGTGACAATGTCAATAAAGATCTTGAAGGAATTCCCTATGAGGTGAGTAAAGAAAGGAGCTCTTAAAGTATTCACAAAGAGCACAATCGTCTCATCTTCTTCAATGGGTGGATGTACTTGTACAACTATGTCCCTCCATCTCTGGGCATACTGTCTGAAGTTCTCATTGGATTTCTTTTTCATACTCTGCAACGCCAATCGATTGGGTCTTTTATCTTTTACATGCTTATATTGTTCATGAAAAATTTTTGCCAAATCTTTCCGAGATTTAATATGAACTTTACTTAACTAGTTGTACCATCGAATAGTTGAACCTGTTAAGCTTTCTTAGAAACAATGAATCAACAGTTTGTCATCCCCTATATAACCTGTCATTTTTCTGCAAAACATTGTGATATGAGCATAGGGGCATTTCGTACCATCGAATTTTTCAAAATCATAAATCTTGAACTTAGGCGGTAACACCAAATCAGGCACCAAACTTAATTCTTTAGCCTCAATTCCATACATGCTAGGGTCCTCCTTCATTGTCCTAATTTACTCTGCTAATTGTTTCCATTTTTCATCATCTTGTTTGGTTTGTTCTTTTTTACGCTCTTCATCAAGATCAGGAACATCTTCAGTTTGTTGTTGGTTTATAGAGGCACTAGGTAAGTTTATGTTTACTCTTCCTAACTGAGTATACATTCCTTGCTGGGCCTTAACATGAGGTGGTGTAAAGCCTGGAGGATACAAAGGTTCCTCAATAACTTTAGCTTTTTGACGATCTGCTCGTGGTGTAAAACCCAGAGGGTGCAAAGGTTCTTTAGTAGTAGCAACAGCTGGAGTGTTTTCTTGATCCATACTTCTTCCTTGTAACATACTTTCAAATTTCTTCATCATATCATTTTGGGTTTTCATCATTTGTTCATGCATTTCTTCTTGAACTTTCTTGAAGCTTTCTTGCATTTCCAGCTGAGTCCTTTCGAGTTTATCTATCTTATCATCCATTACTTTTTTCCGAGTATGATATGGATGCTTGTAGGTGTCCAATATTCTTCAAAAAAGAAAAACCCTTTTTTTGTTAATTTTAAGTTTTAAAAATGAATGTAAAAAATATATATATAAATAAATATAATAATACAAATATAACACAAATAAAATGCAAATACATGTATGCAAAAAAGTTTCGGTACATCAAACAAAACTTTATATATAAGGGATAAATTTTACTCCTAACTTCTTAACATCCAAATTACCATTTTTTTAGAGCTTCTTTAAGATGTCATTCCTTAGATGCGCCATATTTTGTTTGATCATAAAACTTTTTGTCCATATATGAAAACTTTTCAATTTGATGTCCACTCTTGAATCAATACCTTCTAATCATGTCATGATCATGCAATGCAAACAAAAGCAATTAATACAAACAAGTTAGAGCATAATAAAATGTATCTAAAATATATAAGAAAAAATAGTAAAATGATTAGTACCAATTAATGGAAATAAAAGATTCTATTTATCACGGTATTTATATATAAATTCTAACCTCATGCTTTCTAGTTCTATGTTTGTTTGGAAAAATTAACTTAACCGTATGATTTCTAGTTCGCATGCATTTATTCAAAAAAATTAAAAGACAAAAGTTAGAGTTTATTTCTCCTTTGTGTACACCTACGGACAGAGTTTCAATATTGTCTTAAATCTGGTGAATTTCTATTGTTTATTATATGCAAGGTTTCGGCTCTAAGAGTAAAGGTACGCGAATTGTCATTAAAAAATGAATCCTAATATCTGAAAATTAATGAAAAATAAATGTTAGTATATAAGGATATAAAAAATAAAATAAAAAATGAATTGAAAGAAATCAAAAGAATAGTAAATTAAATAAATATGATTTCTCAATTTCTGACTTATAGAGACAATATATAATCAATTTAAGGCTTGACCAGGGTCCCCAGTAGAGTCGCCAAGCTGTCGTAACTGGTTTTCGCCTGGGCACGAAATGTTTCTTGGCGGAAAAGCGAGTGAATAAATAAATGGTTTTTATTGAAATGTTTTTGAGTCGCCATCGAACTTTTTGGGTTAGGTAGGTAGAATACCTAAAAAATCATCTTTTAAAATAGTTTTTAAAAAAACTATTTAAAAGATAAACCAGTATGTGTATAACCAAAAATTCATTCTTTTTAGTAATAAAAAGGGATTCGTGGTCGGTTACATTTGGGGAAGGATTAGCACCCCCATAACGCCCAAAATTGGTATCCATCGATTATATATTGTCTCTATTAGTGGAAATTTATGAAATCGAATATAAATTTAATTTATGATTCTATTATTCTGGATTCAATAGCATAATTTTATTTAACAGAAAATTCTAAGGAAAAATAGAAAATATTCCAATATTTCCAATCGAAGAGAAACTATTCCCTAAAATGTTTTAGGACGAATATTTCTCTTTCCGACCGAAATAATAAGAATGTGATAATTCTTCCCAAGAAATAATATTAAAATAATTTGATATAACCAAAAATAAAATAAGTATGTTTTTTAGGTTTTTATAAGCAGTGTATTTATTTATTTTAAAATATCAGAATAAAACATCTAGTTACTTTAAGACAGTCCTTTTTTAATATTTAAAAATAAATAAATATTATTCTTTAATTAATTTATAAAATCAGTCAAATTAATTAGCATTCAGCATTAAAAATAATTTAATGAGTACATTATCCCACAATTTATGTAGAAATTACAAAAATCAAAGTTTTATTAAAACTACTAACAAATAATTCAAAGGTTATGGTTCCCACTAGTAACAATGTAGGAAAAAATGTGCGTAATGGGAACAAAATTTGACAACATGCAATTATTAATGTCCATTGACTAATCATGCCAGCTTTATATCAATTTCAAAAATATACTATTATCACCAATTATGGCCACCGACTGTTAGCACTTTGTTTCTTATTTCTATTATTTTTAAGAGAAAATAATCTCAGTGACCAAAAATCTCATATAATATACGATTTTAACCAACTTTTTCCGGATTTGCCAAAATGACCAACAAAATCGCAATGCGATCGCTAATTCGCAACGCGATCTCCATTATCGCAAATCAGTTTCCAGATTCGCAACGCGATTATGACTATCGCAATGCGATTTTACAATTTCGCGTTGCGATTTTCCCAATTCACAATGCGAATAAGTAAATCGCAATGCAAATTTGGAAAATCGCAATGCGATACTGACTATCGCAACGCGATAATACAAAATCGCAACGCGATACTGACTTTCACAACGCGATTTTGACTTTCGCAACGTGATTCTGACTTTCGCAACGAGATTCTGAAAATCGCAATCATCTTCAAAATCCCAATCACAACCGGCTTCACCTTTTGGGACTGTTAACTTAGGTGATTTTTAAATGCAAACGTTGTATTATGTGTATTTTATGTGTGCACTTTTAATATTTTCAGTTAGGCATGTATTAGTAACTTGAGTTTGAACATTGCTATTCACCTTTTGGGACTGTTAACTTAGGTGATTTTTAAATGCAAACGTTGTATTATGTGTATTTTATGTGTGCACTTTTAATATTTTCAGTTAGGCATGTATTAGTAACTTGAGTTTGAACATTGCTATGATATGTTCAGTTGTTATCACTTATTAGACATTCATTTGACTATCGCAACGGGGAAATCGCAACGCGAAAATGACTATCGCAACGCGAAAAATGGCTATCGCAAAGCGAAAATGGCTATCGCAACGAGAAAATCGCAATGCAAAATGAAAATCGCATTGCGATTTTCTCGTTGCGATTTTTATTTCGCATTGCGATTTTCATTTCGCGTTGCGATTCTCTCGTTGAGATAGTCAGTTTCGTGTTGCGATAGTCTGTTTTGCCTTCAACATAATGCAGATTGAAAATCAACAAATCAACTATTACATTTCAATCAATTAAACAAGCACAAATAAGAATTATGTACACATCAATTAAACAAATCAACATTTACAAATCATTTTTTACAAATCAATTAAACAATCAAAAAATAATAATAATTCTTATTTCCTCATCAATTATTGAATCAATGAATCAAGTTTTGCACCCGTACATCCATTTCACGCAGCTCACTTAAGGATTAACCTGCAGAAACCAAACATTTGCTCAAACAAGATTTCCTACACATCTAAAACCTACAAACAGCAAATTATTGAATTCTAGGTACTTAACCAAACATTTTCAAACCAAAAGGAGTATATATGTTAACAAAACTTGCATTTGACTTACCAATTAACAATGGATACTTTCATAACGCGGATGCAGGTAGGCAGCGTCTCGAATATATCGCTCTAGCCATATAATGCCGAAACCACAAGCTTACTGCAGCTCTATCTCTATCGGTGGGAGGTAGAAACTCTGTGCTTCCCGTCGTCAAATGCGCCAAGCACATGCATACGAGAGGACCAAATCCCCTCTGGCTCTCGGTGATTGTTGTGGCGCGGTCTCGTCTCTGACAACTGTGACATTGAACTTCTTTGGCTTCTTGTGTCCAGAATGAGTCCAATAATTAATCCCATCCAAGAAATTAGCCAAATGAGAGCTCCATCCCTTGATAATATCTCTCAAATCAGACAGTGATATGTAATTTATCATGTTGTCATATACTATTATCTTCAGGGATGGGAGCTGAAGTTGGACGAGAAGCCAATGACGACGTTCCAAAACAAGGATAAACATATGCAATCATAAGTAATAATTCATTTTTTTGCGCACTTATTTATGACACCTTTAAAAAATTTAAAAAAATAAACACTAACCTTATCGACCTCCCACCATGCATGATAAAGTTTAGCTTGTCCATTTCCCAACGAAAATGATTCATCTCGTTGATTCTTCAAGTGAACTGCGTGAAAAGCCGCCGGCATTATTGTATATCGCGAATTTTTTTTATTTTTCCTAAACTTCCTTATTATTAGAAGACGTGACACCCACGCATCGATATGTTGTTTTATAAAAAAAGACATATATTAGTGAATTACATTAATTTTTAAAAAAAGTAATCAAAATCATATATAAGACAAATATAAGACTTACCTCCCCATCGAAATAGCCACTGTCTTCAACCCTAATAACACACCCACCAAGACCGATTAAGCAACAAATACATCTCATCGTTGAGTTTGCTTATGTCAGTGTAACACCCTTG